ATCTCAGTGTGGCAATCATTCATCAACTGCTCCATGTGGACAATCCTTTTCATCATCTCCGTACCGATGAGATTGATCTACACAAAGAAGAGAGAATGTGATACTAGTAAGAGAAAAATTATGTAAAATAAAAAGACAAGGCTTATACCTTTAAAGATGAATGCATAATATCATTCATCCACATTAGAGAGCTGCGACTTTCCAGTTTAGACTTCTCAACTGGGCCAATCAGTGGTTTTAGCCATATGTCGGCTTGTCCCGATTTCTTCAAAAGATTACCATCTGCAGGAATCTCGATGGTAACTTGTTTAATCGCCCTACTGCTACTAGAGGAACCAATTTCAGCATGGGAAGTTGTGGTAGTAGGAACAATCGAGGAAGTCAAAATAACCACGGGTGGAGCAGTGGAAGCAGCAGCAGATACTGGCAACTGAGATTCAATTAGAGTAGACACAGAAAAAGAGGCAAGAGGCGCTTCCTTAGAAATAAAGCCAAAGCTTTCTTCATCAAATCCACGAGAAAAGAGCTGTTCAGTAGAGTCACGGGGTGCTGCAGGAGTCTCTTCATCAGAACTCACTAAAGTAGCACTCTCAGGCTCGAACATGGGAACAGAACTAGGAGGAGGAGTAGCTTCGTCATCTGAAATGACCCATCTTCTAGCTCGTGGATTACGAACTAACGAGCCTTCGTCCCGCTCCTCTTCGTCTTCAGAGTTATATGGTCTATCAGCTTTTCTTTTTGATGACGAACTCAAGATTATCTCTTGAGCCTTTGATAGAGAGAGCCTCGAAGCAGTGATTGATGCAACACTCACACCCCGAATGGGAAACCCTAATAAAGAAAAGGGTTAATAAGTCCCAGGATAAACAAGAAAATAAAGAAGAAAATGAAAGAGAAAGTTATCGTGAGTCTTAAATTTCCATCCAAATCTGTTGAAAGGTATTTCGAGGACCTTACTTCTATTGGAGCAACTGTTAACAATTTTTCTAACCGACCACGGAAGTCAGAAATTTCCTCAACAGTTCCCATGGTTGTTGAAAAAGAAAAGTAAAACGGTTATGAGAGTACAAGTTCTTTTTTAAAAAAAAAAGCAAAATAAATGATTGGAGGTGAAACTCACGTGCAAAGTTCCACTTCTCGGGGAAGGGCATGTTCTCTTCGCCTACTAACCCACATGTAGGAGCGGCAACAAATCGGGCGTACCAGTCATGATCTTTGTCGCCTTCGGGGCTAACCAAAACTCTCTTACTTCTCGCCACGAGTGTAAAAACCCCATGGCGGAATAATTTGCGAGAGTAGAGATGAATTAGATGGTAAAAGGTGAAGGGTAATTGAGGCAGATTTGACAAATATCTAAGGCATGCCACAACCCTCCATACAATAGGGCCAATCTGTCCTAAACACACATCAAAGAAACATCAAAATTCAATGATAACTGGGTCAATAGGTGGTCTAAAACTAATGTGAAGGGATATTTATACACAAAAGAAAAACCAGATTTAAAGGAAGTGATCCTTTGATTCTCATTAGGGACCAGAATCGGAAAGTCAAATTTCCAATAGCAATCTCTACGTACAACAAAAATTAAACCTTAGTGATCTAGGAAGGGTAAACATCAGCGTGATCGTGAGAAGTGATGGAAGTAACCTGATTTTTAATTAATTCTCTATCTGTGACAAAGGAAAGTTCAGCAGGAATAATCTCGTCGACAGTAGGTTCACGAAGCGGTTCACTAAAATCTCTATTTCTAGCAGAAGATCTATGTGAAAAAGAAGCCCTAGTTCTAGAAGAAGATGGAGGAGTAAAACTGGGTTGAGAAGAAGAACTACGTACAGAAACTGACCCTAAACTACGTAACCTACCACCTCTTCTACTTCTGGTAGGAGCAGAAGAAAAAGGAAGTTCGTCTACGATGAGAACTTTTTGAGAATCAGGATTTGAAGAAGACATAGTTGTATAAAGAAGTAGAACGTATTGAAGAAAAAGAACAAGTTATGAATAAAGAACACCGAAGAAAATTTTTCGTGAAAGCAAAGGCAAAGGATGTATTTATATGCAGAAGCAACCGTCATACAAGAAAGGTAATGATGGAAACGCCATCATGAAAACTATCACTTCGTGATTGATGCAGCCACAAAAAAGCTCTAAACTCCGGTGAAGAGTTGCAGAGCCAATCGAAGACTACCACGTGTCACATGCATTAAATGGAAGTGATATACGATGCATCAGTTCAGAAGAAGGTACAATGGTACGTGAGAAACGGCAGCAAAACTTCCCGCCTTAAATGAGATCCACTTCCCAAATATTCAATTGCTGAATAATTGGTAAGTGGGGGGACTATCTTTATTGGGGAAAATAAATATTACACGTGGAATTATTTTTGTGGCTGACATGGCAAGACATATGGATAACTAGAAAAGGGACAGCTGGAGAAGAGTATTAAAAAAGACGTGAGTCTTAATAGGTACGAGAAAAATATCTAAGAGACGAGAAGAAACGGTAGCTCGAGTCTCTTTAGCGATTTGAAGAGGCACCGGTGGAATGAACCAAGACAATGAAAATGACAGATTCATTGGTCTTCAATTAATGAGCATGAATGATTACAAACGTTACAGAATCTTTACGAAACAGTTACGATTACCAATTATAACGTTTTATTAATGTCATTAATGCTCATAATGACTCGATCATAATAGGAAAAAGACGTTGTACTTAGAGATAACTATATAAGGAAAAGAAAGGTCATTTGTATGGGGAAGTTCTGATTATATTGGAATATAATTATTTACTTCTGCTTTCTACTGATTACTTTGCTATTCTGATTTCCTATTTTACTGCAAGAATATCGATTTCCTTGATTATCAGTAACCCGAGTATTTCTAATAATAGGCTTTGACCGAAATTCCCATTTATTGGTTAAACAATAAACTATCTTATAGTATCTTTTAGAGTTGATTGTTTCTTACAAAGAATGGATCAAGGCCACTTTTTCAATTCAAAATATACTTGAACTGTTCCAAATATATGAAATTATTTTAACATCTACTTAGTAATACAAAATTGAGATCATTAGATGATGAGAACTTACAAAAAAAGTATCTTAAATGGTTGTTAATATCTGCCGAAATATGGTGAATAGAGTTACCGGGTACATTTGATGGTAGCTGTCAGTAAGAAGCCAGCACAGTCAAAATATGTACAAAATGGTTCTGCACACCATTTTTTACAAAACGAAAAGCACATAAATCAAATGAAAGTATATGAAATTTTATTAATTAAATTTAAGATCTCTTTTTAAGTTTTGACTTTAGGCTACCGATTTCGTTGAGCAGCCTCTGCACACAAATAGAGAGCAAAATGAGCAATTTCAAATATTATATAGGCAATTCCAAAACAAATTGTTAGTGATGAATAAAGTGAAAATAAATATTAATTAAATATATGATAGTTGATAATAGCTTATGTACATATGTATGTAAGCTATTATCTTAGGTCCAACATTGGACTCTGCAAACTGTCACCAATGATTGCCTTCATACCTCATTTCCGATTAACTTATCAGACACTTCTAGAACTCTTTCTACGTATTTGCGTTGTACCAGTTGAACTAAAATATCACCAAGCAGCTTAACCAGAGTGTCGGATTCGAGCAAGGAAAATTGTATTAAATCGATTAATTTATAGTTGCTGAAATCATGTACTCCTAATAATGGTAGTGGTGAGTTAGTTGAGTCGCATAGACCAGCCATTCTGTAGATTTTTAACAAAGTTGGTGAACAATTCTATTTTACAGCAGAAAGTGTTGTGATGAGTCATCCTCTAGCTAGATTACAACCTAAACGGGTCATTTAGTAGATGATCATCCAAGTTGTCATTTGGTATATCAGAATAAAGCTAAGCTTAATCTCTTGAACCAGACTTTAAAATGGTGAAGTATAATATTTTAAAACTTTTTTTGATAATCACACATCTTGTAAATAAGTGTTACTAATTCATCTTATGAGTAGTAATATATATCATTCTTCTAAAAGTTTTTTTGTGCAGCTTTAGCGGAAAGTTGACCATACACATTCTCATATTTTAAAGAGCACGATCTGGCACTAGGCTCTTCTCAATGATTTGAGTGGTAAAGCAAGAAGTCCAGAGAATATCCTTTTGCACAAAGAAAGATGTAAGGTTGGAGGCAGAAGCCGAGCTACCGAACCCAGTAGCTTTTGCTCAAACAATGTATTTGTGTCAAAAATTTTATTAAATATATTTAAATATTAAATTTAGAACTAATTCATTAACACTCGTTATAAAATTCAGAACCCGTAAGATTGAAATCCTGACTCCGCTTCTGAGCCAACATTATTCTGAATATTATGAGAACAAATGCTACTCTATTGTTCTAAAGATGATGGATGAATACAATAGTATAAACAGAATTCCTCTAAAAAGTTATACCAAATATATGTATAATGAATAATTGGATATGTAGTATTAGTTTCATAATGGTTAAATGAGTGTAACAGTTGAGAAATGTAATGAAAAATACGAGAACATACTTGAATCCTTAATTTAAAATAGGAGAGAGAGTGTGAAAAGACAAATACTCCATAATTTGTGCATTTTGGCTGCTCATTAATTATGTGCATAATCTCTATCTGCCATTAATGTAAAAAAAATTGCCATTTATGGAATAAACAAAGAGTAGTATTATTTTCTTAAATACTTTTTAAAAAGTGATCAGCTGTGTATTTTATCCGAAGATGATATATGATACTTGTTCCATTCAAGTTTACTTGTCCACTATTGATTTGACACACTCATTAAGAAACAATAAATAGCATGGTAATTACTATATCACCCCATCTATTAAATCTTGGAAAATGAATTGAAAATAAGTAGTATACTTAATAAGAAGGGTGTAAAATGGTAAATTATCTATTGGTTTTCCAAACTAAACAAGTAAAAACGGATAACTTGACATGTCCGCATATATAACAAAAGATAAAACACAACTATATATCTGCATGCAGCAGTAGCCTCCACTGAAATTAATAACATCGTTTGTACAAGATAAAGATGTAATTGAGATATATCCGTAATTTATTGGGTGGATTAAACAAAAGGAAGCGCTCCCTACTATAATATAAGTTTCGTCGAGGTTAAGCTTCTTTTGTGTTTTTTCCTAGTCTAACTAATAATAAAATAGGTGAAAGAAGATTCATCTCTAACTTAATTGGGATGTGCTTATTGATGTTGTATACTGAGAAGAAGAATTTGACGACAAATCACCTGACCTTCTCCTTAGCATTTGCCTCATCCCATCAGCTACATGAACTGCAGGATTATTAGACTTAAAATTCCCACAAAATGACATATGAGCTTTTACAGCTTCTTCCATCCCAAGAAATTGCTTCCCTCTGTTAACTTCATATCTAACAGCTTCTGAGCATAATCCACATAGCCATTTCCCCTCAAAATTCCCTTTCACTTCATTAATGTAGTCTTTTGTGCAATCTTCTTTCAGTCCACAACAATCGCACTTTGCCAACTCTATTTCCATATCTTCAATCAAACCTCACTTTCTTCAAGTGTTTGTGGCAAATTAAGGAAGAAAAAATGGATAGTGGGAAAAGAGATGGAGGAAGTAGACAACTTATAGTAGTAAGGAAAAGGTGCCATAATTTACTCCATGTTCTAAGGGACAAACTGCAGTGGAAAAATGAGACAATTTGGCTTTGGAGGGTCCCTAAGTTGTGGCCTTAATTTCTAGCATTAAAAACAACAGCATATATTATTTTCTACTTGCCCTTGTCATTTTCTATTTTGGTAAATAACAATCGTGTTAGTTGGAGCCAATAATATGAAGTTAAAAGTTAAAAATAGTTGTAAGAAAAAAGAATTTCCCACTCCTTCCTTCTTATTTTTGGGTTTTCGTTTTTAAAGTTTCTTTTCGTTTCCTTACCCTCGGGTTATTTAATATGATCTTAGCATCAGTGAAATTATGGATCAATAATTAATGAACGATAATATTTAACAATCATAGTTTTTTTGTCTGTGGTTTATTTAAATAGTGGCTTCTTTCACTTCACCATTATACAACGTTGCTTTCGCTCAAACACTGATTTTTCATCATCATTAATTAATTAATATGAAAGAAGTGGGCAACTATTGGCCATTATTCTTAGTAGACTAGGGACTAATTATGAGATTCAATCACGATTAGTCTCGCAAAAGAAAGTACAATAAACAAATTTATGTTTTGGTTACGTTCACTTAATTAACCGATTTTTTTGGCTAAATACTATAACATAAATTGACCTTTCGAGTTTGAACCTTTGTGCCTATACGTGTTCTCCTTCGCACCAAAAGAAAAATTTCAAGAAAAAAATGAAATAAAATAAAATAAATAGCGCTACATACATTATAATTTGACTTGCCGAACTTTGTTCTATACCTATTCTAAAATTAAAGGTTGGCTTAGCAATTTAAGCCAAACCCTATTGAATAATTGATTGGGAGTTTGGCCTGTGGCCTCAAATGCCTTGATGTAAAGGTAAATTACGTGGCGTGGCAGTACTGAGTCAATTAGTAATTTACACTGTTTTGAATCTACATGAACAAATAGAAGCTTCTAGCTTGAAGAGACATCTCAAATAATGATTAGGATGTTAAACTGATTTTGCTATCAATGTACCCGATAAATGATAAAAAGCGCATATTTTTCAGTATATTTGCATATTACTTCTTGTGTGAGTCGCCATTGATTACGTGGTTTTCGAAGTGAAATATACTCATTGTGTGTTTCTTATGTGTAGGAACGAGTTTGGATGATAAATGATCAAAAGATGACAATTTGACACAAAAAGGAAGAGATGGAAAGAATCCGGAGCTCGTCCAGTCTCATGCGTGGCACAAAAACGGACACGAAAAAAGAAAAAACTGAAGGCATAAAATAGCAAAGTGAAACGAAGGAACGGATCGCTTCGCGAACTGGAAAAATTGCAAAAGCTGAGTTCGCGTCCATGAGCGCGCGATGCGCGAAGGCAGACGCGGATTCTAGCTCTCCTATCCGAGATTGGATTGTATTGGACGGCCCTCCAACCTACCTAGGTCATATAAATGCATCCTAAAACGTAACTTTGGAGGAGGAGACACTACTTTAGGGTTACAAAACACCTTTGGAGGCAAGAATATACTAGGAGCAAGGAGGAAGATTCAACCACGAGTTTTTCATTTCTTCTTCCTATTTTCTATTGCTCATTATGAATTTTAGTATTGTATTTTCACATGCTATTATAGGTAGCTAATTTATTATTTAGGATTTTGATGGAGCCCTTTGGAGTGATTCTTGTTAAGTTTGAATATAATTTAGCCTTTGAATTTCTTTACTTGTTCAACTACGTGCTTATTTCTGTTGATTGAATGGCTATCATGTCACGCCCGAACCTGGGGGGCGAGACCGGTACCCGGTGCCTCACCTAACCTTGCGTACCAACTTGCGACTAAGGGACTCTGAACATATAATGTTATACTTTGGCCATGGGGCCACATTGCAAGACAATTTGCGAAGCAAAATATAAAACTGAACGGAAACTAACGCTGACTAAACATCAATATAACGCTGGGCCGACAAGGCCGTCATAACTACTACAGCTGACAAACCAATAAAATATACATACAAGGCCTACAAGCCCAACATACTGCACTAACTGACATGATATGTCTACAAGCCTTTACTGATGGATGTACTGTGATCGGAACAGGGCCCCGACCTACCCATAACATATATACATATATACATAAGATGTACACAAAACTCAAGACCCGGCAACTCCGAAGGACATGGAGCTTACCGATCAGGCTGAACTCGGGCAAAACCTACTGAGGAGGTCTGAACCTGCACGCATGAAATGCAGCGCCCCCAGAAAAGGAACGTCAGTACGAAATAATTTACCGAGTATGTAAGGCAATAAAATAACTGAAAGCTGAAACTAAACTGATAATATGATAACTGAAAGTAGCTGGGAATCAAAGATGATCTGGAAATATACTTACCTGCTGATACTGACTCAACTCTCTCAATATAGTAAGTAAAATAAATGTCCGGCCCTATAAGCCTCGGAACGTGTAACTGCTCTGTTGTAGTAGGCTCGCTCAAAGGCGCTTGACCATACTAGGCTCTCTATCTCGGCCATTATGGGCTCGCTTATAGGCGCTCGGCCATAATAGGCTCGGTATATAACTTACCATCTGATCAGAGGTTGCCCAATAGGGACCTGCCCATCGATTGTAGCTCGATGGTGGTGAAACAACTGTAATACTGTGTGTGTATATATATATATATATGTAGACCCTCTGCTCTCTTGACTGGAAGAAGACAATACTTAACTAAATATAAAGTCCTGATAAGGGGAATACTGTAACTTATAAAACTAGGACAATGTACATAAGTTCAGTAATACGAACTTCTCTTTGTGCCTCGTTATCAAACTCACGTAGTTACGGGATCATGTCAAAATGAAGGAAAGGTTTAGCCTTAACATACCCTATCGAAATCTTTCCAATCACCAAGTTGAACTCGCATCTTCGCACCTAAATATACAACAACGATAATAATACTATCATTAAATTATGAAAGGTACAATTATCGCACAACGAACAACAAGCTTATTTTGTATTAAAACAGGCAGCATCTCCCATATAATCCTTACTTCCTCCAAATTCAAGATAACACCAACAATACAAGACACAATAATAACAACATATATACATTATTTTTCATCCTTGTATACACCATCAAATACTACAAAACAGCCCAACACACCCCAATCTTTTCATACACAAAATGACCACCGTAGTAGTGTCAAACGACCTGGAAATATTACGACGAATGACCAGCCCACCACCCTATATTTATGTGGTATTTCTCCACAACCTTCCTCCTTCAAAACTCCATAAAATAGTAGTAAAATACAAAGCCCAACAGCAACACAAAACAGTCCACAAAATAGTCCGCTACAAGTGAATAACTCGAACTCACGGCTTCCGATCACCGTCCCATGAGTTCTTACAAGTACAGAACGAATTACCATGAATTTACAGCAGAAAAAACAGATGAATGAGAGAAGTAAACTTACCTTATTTGTTGGATAACTCAGCTCCTATCTTTGTTCTTCAACTCTAGGTTTTACCTCCAATTAGAACTTGAAAGGGAGAGAAAATCAATTAGGGTTTGTGGGAAATTTTTGTGAGGATTTTTGCAGAGCTTATGTCTGGTTATTATGCCCTATTTTTAGTCTAATATATGAAGAAATAGGCCTTTAAAAGGCCTCTTTGGACGACCCGAAATGTCCCATTTTTGGGCTCTCATTTAAGCAAGTAGGCGACACACCTACTTGTCACTTAGCCGTCTGCGCAGTCTCGCAAAAATGCTCATATCTCTCTACTACGATGTCGAATTGACAAACACTTTTGCGTTAGAAAAGACTCATAGACTTCAATTTGATGGGTGGAACACCCCATAACTCTATGTAATATTGGGAGAAAATCGCAGTTACATTTGACCCAAAATTTTAGTAAAACTTATGAACGTAACTTGTGATGACTTTCATCGACTTTTGTTCCACAAATCGCTTGACTTCAAAACATAACACACGACTATCATACGACTAACCTAATTCATAACATAACCTCCTTATCATGTTAATCACTCTAGTCTCACCCCAAAAGTATATGTTATACCATTCCCAACTTGTTGACTTTCGACGAAACATGATTTTCTTCAATTCCTTTAGCTTCTGAACCTTCCAACCCTCTTTGTACTTGTTGTTCATAATCTTCAATATTTGTAACCTCCAAGGTAACTTGATTAGCTTACTTTATATACTTTCAAATGTTATCTCATTTTTGGTCCTATATTTGTTTGCTTACGATACACTTTTACGTATGAAAATATAGGGTGTAACATCATTCCCCTCTTGGGAACATTCGTCCTCGAATGTTTACTCTTGGAGACTTTGGAAAATTTTGCTTGATTCTCCTCTGTACACTAGACTAAAACCAACCTACACGCAGTTAGAAAACATACTATACATGCCACACATGGCCAATGTCTATAAATAGCAACACTTTGCCTCACACAGCGGTAAATCATAAATACTGAAAGTCAAAAATAAGAGCTTACCTGATGACCTACTAGCCTGAATAGAGCTATGCTGTAGCATCCCTCGAGCCATATCTTTAGTTTGAAATAGGTGGGGGTATTTAGACTTCAATTCTTCCTCCGCTTCCCACGTCATCTCTTCCGTATTCTTGCTTCTCCATAAAACCTTCACGGAGGCTACCTCCTTATTTCGTAGCTTGCGGATTTGTCGGTCTATGATGGCAACTGGAATTTCCTCGTATGACAAGTCCGTAATATGTACATCATCTGTGGGCACCACCCGGGTAGGATCTCCAATGCACTTCCGTAGCATAGATACGTGAAAAACCGGATGGACAAACTCCGATTCTGAGGGCAATTCTAACTCATGTTCTACTTGACCCACTCTCCAAATGATCCTATAAGGCCCAATATACCGTGGGCTAAGCTTGCCTTTCTTTCCAAACCTCATCACGCCTTACATAGGTGATACCTTTATGAATACCCAGTCATTAACCCCGAACTCTTAGTCTCGTCGCCGCACGTCAGAATATAACTTCTGACGACTTTGAGTTGTCAAAAGTTGCTCCCGGATAAGCTT